CCCCCGGCCCGCGCGCAGCCCCGGCCTCCCAGGCTGCCGGCGCCGCTGCCTCGGAAGAAGGTCCCGACAAACTTGGAGAGGCCCCTGTCCCCTCCTTCTCCTCCTCCTCCTCCCCCCGCTCCTGGTAGTCCTCCTCCTCCTGCTCCTCTTCTCCCTCCTCCTCGTCCTCCTCCTCCCCCTCCAGCTGCGGCGGCGGCAGCCGCCCTGCCGCTGGAGCCCCGCTCGGTTCAAGATGAGTCATGCGTGACCAATCCCCTCCCCGCCAAGGAAGAGCGAGACACACACAACGAAGCAGAGACCCAGAGACATGCACACACAAACATAGAGACACACAGACCCTGCAAGCTGCTGACAGACTCCAAAACACCCTAACATACAAAGACGCTGGTGGGCACACATCCACGATAGTCCTCACTACCGCCCCTCCCTCAAGGGGCACCTAGACACAGCCCCACTCACAGGTACAAGAGTGACCCGCGGCGATCCCAGCCCCGGAGATGGACTCCATAGGAACGCTGTGCCTGATACATTTGTGTAGATCCTGCTTAGAATGATTACCTGCTCTCATCGTATAACCAGTAGCGAGGCATCCACACACACCCCAACATGCAGAGACCTCTACTCCACAGTGGCCAGAGAAGCCACCAGCTCCTAAGGACTGAATGGCATTGGATTGGTGGGTGATTAGTGGGAAAAGAGGGTGAATCCTCTCCATTATCTTCCAAGGGATTGCTTGGGACAGTCTCCTTCCCCTTAGGATTTACTTAGCCACGGAGTCCAAGGTTCATCTCACCTTCTCTAGAGTCCTACCCATGATTAGGTCTTGGGGAAGGCAGAGAGGCTCAGGCATTGAGACAGGAGACACACAGACACAGAGCCTGCAGACTCAAAGGCAGTCTTACACACACTACCGCCCTGCGGCCTGTAAACACAGTGGGCATGTGTAGCCTCAGTCCTCTTCTCCACACGCAAACTGAGCCTAAAGAGATGTGTGTGAATATACATCTTCTTCTAAAAGCAAATACACACGCCCAGACTCAGATCTAGCCCTACAGGCAGCGAGACAACTCCTGGCACCTTGTCACACATGCCATCACCTCGATAATTGCCCTCATTTACAGATGTTCTTACACTTGTACACACATTCATCCTCAAGAGAGCAAGGGCTCCCACAAACCCTGTATCACCTCATATCCCCCAATGTACACACAGCTCGCAGGACCTCCATTCATAAGCAGAAATGGCACAGTGCATGCACATGTGGGGTTCCCAAGAGTTCCAGTCTCAGTCTGCACACACAGAGGCACAGCCTAACTGTTCAGGCAGACAAGCAGGGGTGCATACCCACACGGCACAAGAAACTCATTACCATATCTTCCAAAGATACAAATATCTGTTCCAATACACTAAATCATCCTAGCCCAAGCTTATGGCATCTCCCAGCTCCTGCATTTCAGTTATTTATTACCCTCAAACACAGAAACAGAGAAAAAAGTTTCTCTCTGAATCATAAATCTTGTAGAGAACAGACTGTAATGTGGAAGTGGAGAAGGTGTGCACATGCACACACAGGTGTACACACATATACACGCATCACCAAATATGACCACAAATGAATGGTCCCTTTCTCTCACAGATCTCTTTTATATGATCATCCCAGCTACCATTCCTGAGTACTTTAATCTGTGCCAAGCATTAAAATACCAAGCATTTTACAATCATGATCTCATTTTTCCTTTCACAATAACAAGGCTAGGCAAGTTATTCACAATAATGAGGCAGCATCTCTTATGATGCCTATTTTACTGACAAAGAAACTGAGGTTCAGAAAAATCATTTGATGCGTTCATACTGGTGCCAAAGGGTAACGATTGTCAGAGACAGAACTCAAAGCCAGACTCATCTGCTGTCAGAGCTCAAACTTTTGATTTCCAGGCTACACACACAACCATGTTCACACATGTGTGTATGCACACACACACACACACACACACACTCACACACACTTACGTTCCGTATTCTGTCAAATGACCTGAATATGACTCCTGGCTTACCACTCATGGATTAGGCCTGTTTCTTTTCTGCAAAATGGGAAGAACTACACAACTTCCTTTATTTTCTTCTCCTCCTCCCATCTGGGTTGAGTGGGAAATCAGGTCAACAATGTATGATGCTGCACTTACGTGGGTGCAGAAGGACTGTAGGAAAGAAAAAGGGCATAGAGATTGCTTTGGTGCTGCAAAAACTTCTTAAGTAAGAGAGGTGGAGGACGCTTGAGCTAAAACTAAAGCGCAGGTGAAATTTGGATAGGTTCAGAGGACATGTCGAGGGACAGAAGAAAGTATTCTGGCAAAGCTTCAGTGCCTCAGCACACAAGCTGTTGCAGTATGATGAAAAGGAATGAGAAGCATGTGCTCCTTCAGTGATAATATAATCACCATTCATTAAATATTTATGTACCAAGTACTGTTTTACCTGCATTACCCTCTTTAATACTCATAGCAACCTTACAAAGAGGTTATATTGTTATCCGTCCTCACCCCCACCCCAGCCCACCCCTGATAATGAGGACTGGACCTAGAGGTGCTCTACCACTGAGCTATGCCAGCAGCCTTATATATATATATATTTTTTTTTTTTAAGTATCAATACAGGGTCTCACTATGTTGTTCAGGCTGGCCTCAAACTTGCAATCCTCCTGCCTCAGCCTATTGAGTAGCTAGTATTACACGTGTGTCCTACCACATTTGACTTATTTACTTGTTTGACAGTTGAGGAAACAAGCTTGTAGGTTCCCCCATTTCTAGCTCTGGCACTCAGACACTGAACCCAAACTCTTACCTGCTATGCACTTCTAATCCTCAATTCTCATTAATTATTCAAAAAATCAAAACTGAAATGAAATGTATTAAATTCATTAGTAAAGCAAATGACACTGGGGCCAGATCGCCTAGGTATCTATCTTGGCACTGCCCCTTATTACTTGGGTAACCCTGGGCAAGTTATTCAGTTAGTCATCCAGACTCAGTTTCTTCACCTGTGAAGTGGGATAATAACAAAGTTTCCTTCCTATGCCTAACCCTAATCCTAAGTGTAAAATTTATGCAAATTATTCATGTACAAAGGGCTCAGAACTACACCTGATGCACAGTAAGCAACCAATAAATACTAGCCATCATTAATGGCAGGGACAAGTGAAATTTTCTAGTTGTTACCCGACTGGATGCCACTGAAATTTCTCTGTGAACAAGACAGAGCATAAACCAACCAATCAAAATTTTCCGGAATAACTCACTGAAGGAAGCTGCAAATCCATTTTTCCAGCCCACAACTTGCCTGACTCCAAAGAGGACCAAAGTGAAATCATTTCGACAAGAAATCTCTCTTCCAGAGACCCAAGACTTCAGCAGCACAAAGAGTCTCAATAGGAGTAAGCTTGGAAAAATTAGGATTAGTGAATTTAGTATGTTCCATCAGGGTACTGGGTTTCTGCTTTTGGGAGACTAAGGGCAGGTCACTTTGCTTCTGTGAGCTCGGTTTCCTTACTTGCAAAATAAGGATGACAATACTGACCTCTCGGGGATAGAGTGACAACTAACTATAT